TTGCGACCGAGTGCATTTGATGTCATTGTTGTGAGGCCATCCGCTGGCATCGTTATACGATTGTTACCAGACGGTAACCATTGTCCACGCCCTGACAGTGCGTAACGCAATGCTTGGGGTCGGACCCATTGGTGCTGTGCAAAGTTACGGCGATGTCACGTATAGATATTTTGTTTTTCGCAGCGTCCGAGAACGTATGCGCATGATAGCACTGTGTGAGCAGTATGTGCTGGCAACGCAAATCGGTTGTCGGTGGACAACGCCTGCTTTGTTCATATGAACCCCCGATGGTACCTCACTTAATCCGGCCGCCCGGTCCGCAGCGGAATGGTCAGCATACAGCAGCGCAAAAATCTACTTAAATTTGCGCATGGAGAGTGTGTCCCCGTGCATTTGACCTCCTACTGGGCCACCAGCTGGCTTTGTAACATGCTTGTCGGCAAGCGGCATTCTTCGGCTGGCCCCTAACGGCGTGTCCCTCACTGCTGACGTGCGGGCAGCCGGCAGCAGCGGCAGCAGCTGACGTGCGGGCAGCAGCGGCGACTTGCAAAGCTACGGCAGCCATATCAAGTGCTACGGCAGCCATATCAAATGCGTTTTGCCCTGTGCGACGGGCGCAACCATGTGCGCATGATTACACAGTGGGAGCAGCAGCGGCCGGCAGCAAACATCGGCAGTCGGTGACGAACGCATATTTTGTTCAGATGACCTGACCGCGCACTACCAAATGCAGCCGACCACCAATGGTGGGACGGTCAGCATACGGCCGTGACATAAAGACACATGAAATGCTTCGACGTGAAGACATCCATGAATGTAAATGCTTAATCTTAAGGTTTCGCAATAAAATTAAAGGTTACAAGATGTTCTGTGTATTTAGTCCTTAACCTGGCAATCAAAAACAAAATAACAGTACAACAACGATACCTGTATAACAACAACTGCACCTTCCCATCAGCGAGGAGGAAATACAGGGCAACAGACTACCCACCCCGCAACCAGTTACCCAGCATAATCGTGGCGATACTGAACTGGACAGTTGCTCAGATGCCGCCATCAATGGGCGGTAAAAACACGGCGACTGTCAGAAATGCCTGCCTCCGCCAAGGGTCTCACTCAGCCGGTGTCAGTAAAAGGCACCTGGGAACACGCCTAAAACCTGACGGACGAGTGCAGGCAGTCCAGCGTCTGTCATCCCGCCGCGCAGCCGGGCGGCCGTCTGCCATCCTCCCTCAGCGGGACAGGATTTCCTCCAACATCAGCGCGTCCTCGTCCGACAGAAAGGAATCGTCGCTGACCACGACCGGCCTGGACGGAACAGGCACTTGCTGTGGTGGTTTATTCACGGCCTGGGGAGGGCTGGTTACTTTCTGAAGTGGTTTGGTTACTGTCCACTGAGGGTTGGTCACTGGCTGCGGTGGTTTGGTCGTTGGCTGCGGTGGTTTGGTTGTTGGCTGCGGTGGTTTGTTCGCCGACTGCGGTGGTTTGGTTGCCGCGTGATATGCTGTGGAGCGCGTCTGGTAATGAGCACCGGGCAGCTGAGGCGGATCGGCCGCGGCCGTGCTTGTGTGCTGCGCCGCAGAGGAGGCCGGCCGCTGAGGCTGACTGGTCAGGTCCGGCGGCGCTCCCGGGACCTCTTCCTCGGCACCGGCCAGGCCTCGGAGGAAGCAGCGCAGGCTACCGAACAGGGCTCGGCTCATACGGCCGATCACTGCCGGCGGCCCCGACTCCGACACCTGGCGCTTCTCTCGCGTCACCTCTGTAGTCAGCAGCAGGTTGGCTATGTCGACCAGCGCCGTCAGCAGCTTCTCTACCTCGGAGATGGCGAACTGCAGCTCGACGCTGCCCTCCACCAGCGCCGCTCGTTCCGCGGCCAGCTGCTGCCGCTCAGCAGCGTTCAGCGCCGTCAGCGCCGCGTGCAGCCCCGCTGTCAGGTCCGATCGACTGAGCATGAGCACGCTCTGCCGCTCTCGCTGCTCCACGACCGTGGCTGGTCGCAGGATGTCGTTGAGCAGGAAACGCCAATCGGACCAGAGGTCGCCCACGATGCTCACGACGCGCAGCGTTAGAGCTCGCGTCGCGCCACCGTCGCGCTGAAATAGGGTGACTCGTTTAACATTCAAGGAATTGTCCCAGACCACCTCAAAGAAGGCTGTTGATGTGTCCTTACTGGCACGCTGGCTAAATGTCCATCAGTATTATGCCACCTGATAGAGATACAGTTCGCATGAAGGTGGAAACAAAACCAGCATTATGTAATTGCCACTGGTTCACCACGCGCAGAAGGAAAGTGTCTTATGTAGAGGTTTCCTTCTTCATTATTTCAAATCATATTGTGCTGGCCAACTCATGCTTAGTCCCTTATACAAAAATTGCATGCATCTTGCAAATTATCCCGGATATGTGTCGTAAGTTATGAATTCCAATTCATCCGTGATTCAAAATTCATCCGCCAATTTTGCCGCCATATTTTGTGACCCTGGGCACTTTCGGGGATGGGGGAGCGGGTCATCCAGGACATAAACTGCTGGCCTCATATCATCGCAACGGTCGTCCAGCATTGATGTTTTTCGCACGACTCTTCACGACACGGGTGTCGATTTGTGTTCTTTTGTGGGGGCCCTGCCCCCATGTTGAGTTGTCCCCCCCCCAATGTTGGCTTGCCCTCCCCCCCAATGTTTTTCGTTGGAATACACAAAAACGTGCGTCAACGTTAATCATAACACAGATATTATTTTCTTTTATCTGTCTGCGTAGTGACATCTCTTACCATTCTCAAAACAACGAGTCATGGCTGCTCTCACCACAAGATAGAAATCGCAACAACTGGGCGGATAAACGGTGCAGTAAACTTCACATGCCCCATGCCATAAGACACGCAATGGTTTGTGATGGTAAAATGAAAAGCTCTAGAATATGGGGATGACCCAAGTCCTTCATGGCTTACCTCATCCCGTCCCCCACAACCAAAATGCGCGCCGCCTCCCATGGCCGTCATAGAAGAGCGCCATCGGCGCCCTAAGATGGCCTCTTAATGGTCTTTACGTGCCGATCAGAAGAGACGCGTGCGTGCAGTGCCTGGTCCCTGGATCCAACTCTGCATGTCCTCTATGCTGCTTAAATTAAGTACTTTTATAAATTAAACAAGTATCAAAAACCCACATTCCGTTTAATCGAAATAATGTGGGCTCAATCCGATGAGAAAAAGGGGGGGAGGGTAGGTTGTTGGGCCTTCAGTTTGGCCCCCTAATCATTTACAAAAATTGACATCCCTGCTTCACGAACGATTTGGTAAAAAGCTCATAAATTGACGTTCATTCCAAGGAAAGGCACGTTGCGCTGCCCTTTTTCAGACAAATTGGTTGCACGAGGCTGCTTGAAGTGAGCTAGGTCTGTCACATGCCCTTCCGGCTTCAAGCTTTCAATGCCGTCTGTCTAGCAGCTACATAGTTTTTGGACTGGCATTGCAAGGTTGCATTTCCGCAGGCTACTCAGGAGAGAATCTATGACAAACTTGATTGTGACCAGTTCAGAATGTCCTACGCAAGATAGAAGATTCTGATTAATTAACAAATCTTTCGGAATTCTTAAGAAGCGAGCTTTTCTATCATGCCGTTTGCCTTTTCAGTTTCACTGAGAGATGCGACAGAATGCAAATTATCTGCCGAAGAATTCAGTTAGCGGAATGCTCACTACATGTTAGGTTTCATGCAACAAGTTAATTGTGTGATTACCACAAATACTGGTCTGCCGAAGAATCTTCAGTTATCTCAGAGTTTTTTTTTTATTTTCGGGGGGAGCCTGCTCGTTCAAATACTCCGTCTGAAATATTCCCGCAAATGCCCCCAAAATTGGTCCTGTGACCCAGGATCTCCTTTTCGAGCCCACGCCCATACCTGGTCTGCAGCTGCTGTTCTCCAAAAAGGCGATATGGTAGGTCTTGGCCACATCGCCTGATGTCTAACAAGCCAGGTACCAGCCTGTATGTGATCGGTGTGCACGCCTGATGGCATGTGCTGTGGTTACGCACCTGCAGACGCACCGACATCGGCTCCACCGGCAGCGGGCTGAAGTTGGCAGTCAGGTTGCCAACCAGCCGGAAGTCGGGCAGCGGCTCTACAAAACAGCGCAGCATGGCGGCCGTCGCCTGCGGCAGGTGGAAGTCGAACTGGAGCGGCTCCAGGGGCGGGCCGCCTAGGCCCAGTCTCAGCAACCTGCGCATCTGGTGCACGTGCGCCAGCTGACGCTCCAAGTCGTCCAGTGCGAAGCTGAAGCGGGAAGCGCTGCCGCTCACGTAGTGAAGCTTCTGTTCAAGACGCATGCTTGCCGGCGACCCGGCAGACGCCGTGCGAGGCAGCGCGGCCGTGGCCCGTGGCAGCGGCTCCTCCGGCCGGTAGGAGCTGAAGAACTTCAGTCCGATGTCAAACAGCACCCTGACCAGCACGTTGAGCTGCTCCATGATCTTTTGGTGGTCGTTGTCGTCTTCGACTAGCTTACACTCTGGAGGGTGAGCGGGCAGGAACGATGTGCTAGGCAGCTCTGCCGAAGCATGCGTCTTGATAACGGTGGCTACCAGGCCGCCCTGCTCCTCCTCTTCCTCGGCACCGGCCAGGCCTCGGAGGAAGCAGCGCAGGCTTCCGAACAGGGCTCGACTCATATGGCTGATCACTGCCGGCGGCCCCGACTCCGACACCTGGCGCTTCTCTCGCGTCACCTCTGTAGTCAGCAGCAGGTTGGCTATGTCGACCAGCGCCGTCAGCAGCTTCTCTACCTCGGAGATGGCGAACTGCAGCTCGACGCTGCCCTCCACCAGCGCCGCTCGTTCCGCGGCCAGCTGCTGCCGCTCAGTAGCGTTCAGCGCCGTCAGCGCCGCGTGCAGCCCCGCTGTCAGGTCCGATCGACTGAGCATGAGCACGTTCTGCCGCTCTCGCTGCTCTACGACCGTCGCTGATCGCAGGATGTTGTTGAGCAAGAAACGCCAGTCGGACCAGAGGTCGCCCACGATGCTCACGACGCGCAGCGTTAGAGCTCGCGTCGTGCCGCCGCCGCGCTGAAATAGGGCGACTGGTTTAATGTTCAGTTGTTAGAGGATTATCTCAACATAGGCTGTTGACGTGCGCCAACATGTTAGGTTGGATGGCGGAGCTGTTGCTGTTTTGCTCTACACGGAGAACATTGTCATAACGTAATCTTTTTCTCTACTCATGCTCGTCAATCGCATTGTGATGACCACGATATGCTAGATCAAGCAGCAAAAATTTGCACGCATCCCGGATCATGATCCCGCGCCGAGGATCGTGAGTTACGAACCTCCAATCATACGCAGAGGATAATTCATCCAAAAATGTTGTCAACATACTTTCATGCCCGGTCCCTTTCCATATGCTTTTAAACAGGTGGTGATGAGATTGCGAGGAGGGGGCAGGCCATTCAGGACGCTTGGTTGCTGTCTAATTTGTCACAATGGTCGTCCAGGATTTATCATTCAATTTTTGCACGACCTTCCATGATCAATTTCGGTTGAAAACTTTCAAAATTGATCTGCGTTCCCAGCGTAGGCCGGCTTATCTGTCCCGGTTCATATAGGTTGGATGCAAGAGGCTGTTTGGAGTAAGTCAGCGCTGCCACGCATCCTTCAAGAAACTGCCTAGAAACAAGTAATTTTCAGTTTAATTACAAGATTGCATTCCCAAAATCTGCCAAGAAGAGAGTATATTGTTGAACTGACTGTGACCGCATCGAAATGTCCTACACGGGACAGAAGATTCTGGTTAATCAAGAAATTGTTCAGGGCCCCTCAGGATCAATTTTTCCGGGGTGCTGGTCCCTTGATTACAAACGGCGATAACAGCATCTACTCGCATGCCAAAGGATCTCCAGTTACTGAGACATTTGCTTATTGTCGGGAGGGATCCTCCTCTTTCAAAAATTGTGTGAAATGGTCCTGCAATGTTTCCTGTGACCCAGGATCTCTTTTTCGAGCCCACGCCCATACCTGGTCTGCAGCTGCTGTTCTCCAAAAAGGCGATATGGTAGGCCTTGGCCACATCGCCTGATGTCTAACGAGCCAGGTACCAGCCTGTATGTGATCGGTGTGCACGCCTGATGGCATGTGCTGTGGTTACGCACCTGCAGACGCACCGACATCGGCTCCACCGGCAGCGGGCTGAAGTTGGCAGTCAGGTTGCCAACCAGCCGGAAGTCGGGCAGCGGCTCTACAAAACAGCGCAGCATGGCGGCCGTCGCCTGCGGCAGGTGGAAGTCGAACTGGAGCGGCTCCAGGGGCGGGCCGCCTAGGCCCAGTCTCAGCAACCTGCGCATCTGGTGCACGTGCGCCAGCTGACGCTCCAAGTCGTCCAGTGCGAAGCTGAAGCGGGAAGCGCTGCCGCTCACGTAGTGAAGCTTCTGTTCAAGACGCATGCTTGCCGGCGACCCGGCAGACGCCGTGCGAGGCAGCGCGGCCGTGGCCCGTGGCAGCGGCTCCTCCGGCCGGTAGGAGCTGAAGAACTTCAGTCCAATGTCAAACAGCACCCTGACCAGCACGTTGAGCTGCTCCATGATCTTCTCGTGGTCGTTGTCGTCTTCGGCTAGCTTACACTCTGGAGGGTGAGCGGGCAGGAGTGATGTGCTGGGCAATGTCACGGAGTCGCGGCTGGCTTCGCTGTTATTCTTGGCGGAAGTGTTAACTTCATTGACTGCATTGGTCGGGTCATCATCACCAGAATCGTTACCTCTCACGGGTAAACTGATGATATAGTCCACATTTGCAGGGTCTTTTGCCGGGACGACATTCGCAATACGGTTCGCCTCGGTATCGGCCGTCACTGGGACACTGACGTCATCGCTGGTGGAGCCGACCTCGGTCACCGGCGGGCCCTGCAGCCCCGGCAGACCGAGCGACCGCACGATCTCCTGCAGCATCTCCAGCTCGCGATCAAAGGAGTGCCGGATCGCCTCCTGCCGCTCGTCCAGCTGCTGGTCCAGCAGCCGCAGCTGGCGGTCGTAGAGCGCCTCGAGCGCGGCGCGCTCGTTTTCCATGGTGCGGCGGACCAGGCGGACGGCGGTCTCCAGCCGATCCGACCGGTCACCAGCCGGCGGCGTCGCGTCGCTGGCTGTCGTCGCGTCGCTGTCGTTGCGCCTCGCCTCTACTGGCGCCGCCGCCGCTGCCGGCACGCACTGCCGGCTGCCGAGCGTGTAGGAGACGGCCAGCAGTCGAGCCAGCCGCCAGCGGTCGTCGCCGAGCGGCGCCGCCAGCGCGCTCGCCTCCTGGCGGCGCACGGCGCTGATCGCCCGTGACAGGAAGTCGAGCGCCTGACTGAGGTTATGCGGGCGGTGCTCGCTGCTGGACGGCAGCGCCGCCCGGTGGAGCTCTGCCGGGTCCGCCGGCGTCGTCGTCGTCTCCGCCGGGGCGAATGTGATGGTGTTGACGGTGCTCTGGGGGTGGTGACTCGACGGGGCGGGATCGGCCCTCAGCGGCGTGGCCGTCCGGTCGGCCCCTGTCACCGTCCCGCCATCGGCTGGTTCCTCGAGCGGGACGGTGGAGGACTCCACACCGCCTGCCGACTCAGTGACCTCGTGGACGGCCTGGGCGGTAGATTTGGCCGGACCAGCTGTGACCACAGGGCTGTCCTCCGTGGTCGCCACTGATTCGGACTCCGCCAGCGGCAGCGGCGCCGTCGTGGCGGGAGCTCTGTCGAGCGTGGCGTCCGTGGTTTTCTGCGGTTCAGGCAGCGGTCCTATCTGACTGGCGCTGTCGACCACCACACGTCCCGTGCCGTCCCCTCTGCCCGACCCCTGACTCGGGCCGGCGGCGGGGCTGGTGCCGGGACCGACTGCCAGAGTGGTAGGGGGCGCGGGGACCGATTTGCCGGTCGGCTGTCGGGGAGGGATCCCGTTACCCGTGGACAAAGGCAGCGCCGACGGCGAGGGGCTCATCACTTCCGTGAAAAGAGAATGCCCGAGCTCATCACTGACGTCATACCCTGGAGCTGGAGCTGGAGTGATGTTGGACGCTGGAGTGGTGTTGGACGCTGGAGTGACACTGGAAGCTGGAGTGGTGCTGGACGCTGGAGTGACGCTGGACGCTGGAGTGATGCTGGACGTGGTGGCCTGGACGCTGGAGTGGCGCTGGACGCTGGAGTGACGCTGGGCGCTGGAGTGACGCTGGACGCTGGAGTGACGCTGGACGCTGGAGTGACGTCAGACGTCGCGACATCTGCCCGCCACCCCGCTGGCCCCAACCGAAGGCGAGCGCGGCGACTGGGACGAGGCCGCAGACGTGGCGAGCTCGCCCGAGTCAGGCTGCACCACCCGGGGCGAACGGACGCTCTCGGGCGTCGGGGCCGCGCCAGCGCTGAGCTCGGAGTCCGGTCCCACCACGTCGCCCGGGGGCGCCGAGCCCACACCGACGTCGGCCGTCTCAGCCATCTCTGACCCGATGTCGGCGGTGGGCGGGACCTCGAACTGTGACACCAATTGGTCCAACCGTGGTGCAGCTGTCTCCGTCTGGACCCACATCCGCGCGGCGACCTCCGGCGGCAGAGAGATGGACGCTTCTGTGGCGGTCACCAACGACAGCGCGTCCCGCTCCTCCGCGGCTACGATCTCCGCCGGCAGAGGGTCGGACGCCTCTGTGGCGGTCACCTCCAACGACAGCGCGTCCCGCTCCTCCGCGGCTACGATCTCCGCCGGCAGAGGGTCGGACGCCTCTGTGGCGGTCACCTCCAACGACAGCGCGTCCCGCTCCTCCGCGGCCGCGATCTCCGGCGGCAGAGGGCTGGACGCCTCTGTGGCGGTCACCTCCAACGACAGCGCGTTCCGCCCCTCCGTGGCGGCGATCTCCGGCGACACGCCACCCGGTAGATGCGAACTGGACTGCGTCGGCGACAGTAACGTCATGCTCGGACCTTCCTGCGTTGTCGACGCGACGGTGGCGCCATCAGGCGAGCCGCACAGGCAGCCCGACTCGACGTACACCATGTCAAACTGCAGTCGGCGGCCGGAGAGCTTGACCAGGATCTGAGGCGCGTACATCTGCGGTAGCAGCAGGACACCGTAACTGTACTTTTAATCAGACTTAAGCGAACCATGTCCGCTCGGTGCTCATGGGGCATGTAGAGAGCTGCTCCTTTTTCGCGGACCGTGTCTAAACCATACCTGTTGAAACATGACCAGTACAAAAGGCTACCGTACGTCGGGTAACAACAATGCGTGAACGACACTTTTTCCTGAACACAGCCATGCCCCGTGCTTGTAACCCTTGCTTGGCTCACCTGGTGGCACGAGACATTGGTAACCGGACACCGGTCCGACTGGCAGGCGGAGACCAGCACCGGCTGCACGTGGAGCGGTGGCGACTGGACGATCTGGACACGCCTCTCTGCGGCGGCAAGGGTCCTACGCTTGTCAGGGGCTGACGCACCAGGCACCAACAACACGGTACCGAAGGCGTTAACACAATGCTCAGACGCGCATGTTTGGGCACGATGCGCCATAGTGGCTCCAGTCACGGTGGGAACGACTTGTTGGACGCTTTCGGCGCGTCACGTCGCTGAATGCAGTATAGTTCACGTGTGCGATGACGGGCGATGGGTGGCCTGCTATCTGCGAGAATGCATCGGTAAGCGAATGCAACCCCTCCCTGAAGACATCCTATTTGCGATTTTTTGCTCGTACATCTGGCACGCAAACAAAGACGTCATTAGAGGTAGTCACTGTTCCGCTTGCACTTTTGCTATCCTGGCCATGAATTCGGCGCAGGCAGTGGATCGAGACTGACTGGTGACGCTGGACGTGGCTGACAGGGGCAGCAGCACGCTGGTCTCCGGCTGACAGCACTGCAGCTGCTGATGATCCGGCAGGTCCGGCCGGCCCCCGCAGCGTCCTTCGGCGCACGGCAGGCCGTCCGCAGCAAACGCAGCGCTCCACAGAGACCTGACGCCAAGAGACACGCGTCCGTGAGCACAGCCTGGCCTCCGGCGCCCACACACGCCGAGGGAGCGAGCGAATGACGGTGCCTAACGGCCGAGAACAGCTTTGAACACTCTCCCGATGGAGCATGCCAGACCCCTGAAGCTGTCATCTCCTGATGGAGCATGGTAGATCGGAGCACGCCATAGCACAGGACACGCACTGGCAAGGCAGCGGCGTTTTCGTCCGCTCTAAAACTGTGCCGCCCTGTGGCGTGCGTCCCCTGGGACCAGTGCAGCGGCTGGGCGGCTGGGCGGCTGGGCGGCTGCCCAGCGTGCCCATGCTCACCTCTTGCGCCGGGTCAGCCGCTGCACGTGCTGGCGCATCAGGTGTACGGCCGTCATGTTCTGGAAGTGGCCGACTCGGCCGCCGGACAGGCTGGCGGGAGTGAGAGCGTAGGTCTGGCCGTTGGCAGTGCATCTCGCCTGGACGTCGGCATGGCCTCGGACAGAGCCGCGGCCGGCGCAGACCTCGGCGCCAGCGCGACCGGCCGCCAGCCAGACCACCTGCCGAGAGGGCGGCGACTGCCGTTAACGGGTTACAGTCACGGGGGACAGACTACCTGCCGAGGGCGGGGGCCTGGGGTTAACGGGTTACAGTCACGGGGGACAGACCACCTGCGGAGGGCGGGGGCCTGGGGTTAACGGGTTACAGTCACGGGGACAAACCACCGCCAGCCAGACCACCTGCCGAGAGGGCGGGGCTGCGGTTAACGGGTTAGCCACGGGGACAGACCACCGCCAGCCAGGTCACCTGCGGAGAGGGCGGGGGGGGGGGGGCTGCGGTGAACGGGCTACAGTCAGGGGGACAGACCACCGCCAGCCAGACCACCTGCCGAGAGGGCGGGGCTGCGGTGAACGGGCTACAGTCAGGGGACAGACCACCGCCAGCCAGACCACCTGCGGAGGGGGCGGGGGGGGGGGGCTGCGGTGAACGGGTTACAGTCAGGGGGACAGACCACCGCCAGCCAGACCACCTGCGGAGAGGGCGGGGGGGGGGGGCTGCGGTTAACGGGCTACAGTCAGGGGACAGACCACCGCCAGCCAGACCAGCGGAGAGGGCGGGGGGGGGGGGGCTGCGGTTAACGGGCTACAGTCAGGGGGACAGACCACCGCCAGACAGACCACCTGCGGAGAGGGCGGGGCTGCGGTGAACGGGCTACAGTCAGGGGGACAGACCACCGCCAGCCAGACCAGCGGAGAGGGCGGGGGGGGGGCTGCGGTTAACGGGCTACAGTCAGGGGGACAGACCACCGCCAGCCAGACCACCTGCGCAGAGGGCGGGGGGGGCTGCGGTTAACGGGCTACAGTCAGGGGGACAGACCACCGCCAGCCAGACCACCTGCGGAGAGGGCGGGGGCCCGGGGCTAATGGATCAGAGTCACAGATGGTGATCAGGGACAGATGCTGCCAAAGAAGCGACCTGGGGAGAGGACGGGAGTGTGCGCTTACCGGGCAGCAACACAGAGGGACCTGAAGATCGCACAGAAATGGGGGTCAGCAGTGACCTGGACAAACACACAAAGCATCAATACCAGCAACGGGCACCGACACGTGAAGATGGGGTGGCGACTGTGCGGTGCTGACCATCTGACCTACCCGCCCACATGTCACAAATCAGTGCTGATCAACGACTGTGCTCGTGCGTGTATTGCATGAACCGATGTGCTCAGTGTAAGCAGCGAATGTTTAACCTGGAGCTTCTTCCCAAGCCCAGCCCCCTAACGCTATCCTCGGACAGCAGTCAGCAGTAGGCCACTGATGAGCCAGCACACAGACTGGGCCCAGAACCGAGTGGTAGTGAGTCGGCTGCAAGGCTGGCGGGCGGATCACAGACCCGGACAGGGTGAGGCCCGTGGCTACAGCGAACAAAGGGCTGATATAGTATCAGGGCACGGACGTTCGTGGGTCGAAGCAGGTGTCATGTCCTGCCTTTGAGCTCAGTCGATAACCGGGCGTTTGCATTGGGTCATTTCACGGCAAACCTCAAACGTTGCTCGATGATAAAGAGGATGGAACCCCGGATCCTCCACGTTTTCGTGATCGCGTTTCCTTGGCGAGACGCCCTTCTCCGGTGCGGACGCGTCGCGGCGTCGTGCAGCCTGGTACTGATCCCTCAATGCCGTTCGGTTCACAGACATCGAACGCTTCCCGGTCTACTTTTGGTGCACCGATGAGTCGGACAGTGCTGCCATCGCCTAGTGATGTTTGGGCGCCGTGCAGCTGGCTTCGCGTCTTTGGCTGCTCTAATCACAGAGACGGAAATGAATCTTTAAAACCCTCCAAAGCGGGCGCAGCCATTGGTTGTGCCCGTGCGCGCGCGACCGAGTGCTTGCATCGCCCAGCCCATTTCCGCCAATGCGACTGTTGGTCTACGCACAAAAGTGCCGTGTTGCTACTACGCTGCTTCCTCCAAACACGGCCTCCGTTTCGACCCATCGTGCCGTCGGCATCAGCAAATTTTGCGTTTCCAATTTTAACCGAGCGGAAATGATAATGTTGCCGGCATTGCTATGTTCAGGAAAATGATAACCTTGTCAAATAAGTTGCATGCAAGCGGCTTAAAATTCACATCGTACAATTTCTAATGAACTGCGCATCGTGCCACAAGAGATTCATGCGTGCGGTTTTCTCGTAGCATGTGCACGAGGTACATGAGGCCGTAGTCAGCGGTTTCATGAATAGAAACTTCCACAGAAGGTAATGACAGAGGGTGATGGTGTGCCATGAACTCAACTCACCAGCCATACAAGCGCTGTGCCTGTCATCCTGCTGGGTGCTCAGGAGATCCTGCCGACAGCTCAGGAGACCCTGCCGACAGCACAGCAAATCCTGCCAACAGCTCAGGAGATCCTGCCGAGAGCTCAGGAGATCCTGCCGAGAGCTCAGGAGATCCTGCCGACAGCTCAGGAGACCCTGCCGACAGCACAGCAAATCCTGCCAACAGCTCAGGAGATCCTGCCGACAGCTCAGGAGATCCTGCCGATCTTGTGGTCCGACACAGGACGGCAGAACGGTGCCTGTCTCCGGCCTCGTCGGCCCTGCCCGAACCAGCATCAGACCCACTCTGCGTCTGGCCACCGCCGCGACCTTCTGACCTCGCGGCCGGGCGCATGCCCCCAGGGCAGATCAAGGGCGGCTTCAGCCGAACTGGATCGGTCGGCTACAGCCGCGGCACGGCGGTAGTGCCGGAGAGCGCGCACAGCCTGGGGCGAAACCTCTTGACCAACACCAGCATGGCGATATTTCCAACCAGGTGGCCCCCATCGATGATGCATCACTTGTGGGAAAAGGCACATTGTACCGGGTGTCGACACGGTCTAGAATCTGAGCGTCGCCCGACTCTGCAGTGAACCCGCAGGCTAGCTTGATGAGTCGTCGGACGGCGGCAGGCCCCCCTGGATCCGCCCCTGGCCGCGCCTCACGCTGGGAGCTCGGGAGCGTACTCGGTGTGGTGGCGCTCTAATCACACCCTCCCGTCACCGGCTTTAAGTCGTGGCCCGGCGCACGCATGGCGTGCGTTAACTACGATACATATTTGCAGCTGACTTTTGACCTAGCGCGCCAGCAGACGCCAGGCGCCACTAAGCACGAGCTGATCCATGTTGAACTATTTATGCCCCGTATGACTTGAAGTCTTTCCACCTTCTTCCAATCTTTTCAGAAAATCAGCTAAAAAGACGCCCTTAGCAGTTAAAACCCAACCACCTGTCACGGATGGGTCAAAACGCAGTAACTGCAGGTTATCAATGTATTTCGATGGTATATGCGGTATGGCTGCCATGACCAGCCTCTAACAACACGAGCCAACTACATTATCCAACACACCAGTCTAAAATGAGCCGGTAACACAGCAAATTGATATGAGGTAAAACATGGTTTAAAACGTTGAAAGCATTGTTACATTATGATTCCAATCCTCGGCGAAAACAGGCTATGCGATGAAGATGACACGCACTGCGCAAAATCCGCGTACATCCACAGAATTACATCGGACAGGAACGCAAGCCAACCGCCCGTCTCTTGCTACCGTGACTACAGTTCCGTGAATGGCAACGACCTTACGGCGTCCTTCCGACCGACGGCCGCACGGACCGCCGACCAGCGGCGGCTGGCACAGCAGCCTTCGACCAGTCCGGGCCGTCTCGCTTTGCACAGCACGCTGTCGGGTGAGGCGATGGCGCTGGGCGGCTCTCAGCCGCGGCCGCAGCACAGATCGGGGCCTTGACCTGCCTGTCAGGTCGCCAGCAGCTGCCAGCCGCGGTGCAGATCGGGGCCTTGACCCGCCTGTCAGGTCGCCAGCAGCTGCCAGCCAGCTCCGGGCACAGCACCGGTGCGCAGTCACGCGCCACATTTGCACCTGGACGGCGGCTGCCGACGGCGCGTGGTGGGTAGCGCGGCGGTGGCGCCGGCTCCCCACCGACGGCCCTCGCATGGAGTTCACCGAGCTTCGGCCCTTCCCACTCCACCCTCGATTCTCCCGAGCTAAACTACACGCACACAAATAAATAGGTGCAAGTGTGTTGGCCAAATGAGTGGTGTAACACTCAGTGCAGGAGGGGGAGGCGAAGGGGCGGAGATGGGGGGGGGGGGGGGGGGGGGTCCCTGAAACAGGCGAGAAGCGATCGAGGCAGTCACGAGTGCGTGCAATCCGCGCCCTTCCGGCTAACCTACAGCTTCTGCCACCAGCGGACAGCGTCCGAACCTCCTGTCCCCGAGCACAACACAGCCGCACCGCATCCCGCGCCGCGGGCCGCGCGCAGCCCGTCCGCGGACACCGCCACCGACGCGGGCGAGGGGACGGCGCCCCGCCTCGCGTGTCGCCCAGACGTGCCGGCCAGCCCGCCTGCGGTGGCCGGCGGTGGCGACGCTCAGAGCGGCTGGTAGCCGGACACGGACTCGGTGATGGCGGCCGCCGCCGAGGTGGCGTCGACGGCCGAGCGGCGATACACCGAGCGCGTCTTCATCATCAGCACGAACGGCGTGGCCGTGGCCGCCACCAGACAGTAGTTGAGCCACACAGTGCGCTCGGCTGGAACGGAACGGCACAGGTTAGTCAGCGCTCCGTGACCCCCGGGGGCAGGCCGCCACGTGGCCGGGCCAGCTGTGGTCCCAGTCGCGTCATGAGAGCAGATACGACCCGACACGGACCAGCCACAGAGCACATGGGTAGATAGTAAGCCAGCACGGCCGCCGGAGGCCCCGCCGTGTCACAGTCTCCAGACCCCGCAGTGTGATGCCGCGTTCGCAGCTGGGGCCAGACGCCCCGACGCGAGGAATCCAGAATTCGATCCCGACCATTCATTCCAATGGTGCGAGGGTCATCACTTGTCACCAGGCTACCCGAATGCAAAAAGCACGACACTATCCAGCCCGCATGCCATTTGAGAACAAGCAGGCATCCGAACCGAGCTCTTTCTCGTAAACAGACCGTCACAACCGTCTCTCGTACACTCGGGCCACACCCGAGACTCCCACTCGTGGCTGACCCGAAGACAAAGCCCCGCCCACGTGGGTGCGGACCAATTGCAGGTGGCTCATCGCGGAAAGTTCTCGGAGGAGGATGCTCTACAGCCCACACACGCACACCATAGCCTCCCGCTACTCACCCAGCCGGCGGTTAAGGAAGAACAGGAGGTAGAGCATGCCGACCATGTTGAAGCAAAAGCTCATGATGGCGCCGACCACATCCTCGGGCACAGGGTAGCTGATCTCGGATGCGTACTCGAAGAGCAGCGGCGACGCGGCGTACGTGCAGGACACGGCGATCAGCACGGAGCAGAACAGGTGCACTGTCGGGCACATAGGACAGTCAGCACGGAGCAGAACAGGTGCACTGTCGGGCACATAGGACAGTCGGCACGGAGCAGAACAGGTGCACTGTCGGGCACATAGGACAGTCAGCACGGAGCAGAACAGGTGCACTGTCGGGCACATAGGACAGTCAGCACGGAGCAGAACAGGTGCACTGTCGGGCACATAGGACAGTCAGCACGGAGCAGAACAGGTGCACTGTCGGGCACATAGGACAGTCGGCACGGAGCAGAACAGGTGCACTGTCGGGCACATAGGACAGTCAGCGCGGAGCAGAACAGGTGCACTGTCGGGCACACATGACAGTCGGCACGGAGCAGAACAGGTGCACTGTCGGGTGTGCAGGAGAGTCAGCACGGAGCAGAACCGGCACGCAGGACAGCTAGCACGGAGCAGAACAGGTGCACTGTCGGACACACATGACAGTCGGCACGGAGCAGAACAGGTGCACTGTCGGACACACATGACAGTCGGCACGGAGCAGAACAGGTGCACTGTCGGGCACATAGGACAGTCGGCACGGAGCAGAACAGGTGCACTGTCGGGCACATAGGACAGTCAGCACGGAGCAGAACAGGTGCACTGTCGGGCACATAGGACAGTCAGCACGGAGCAGAACAGGTGCACTGTCGGGCACGTAAGAGAGTCAGCACGGAGCAGGACAGGAGCACTGAACAGCGCAGCGTCACGTGAGACGGCCACTGGCGCCAAGACAGATCAGGTCAGGACATGTCAGGCCAGCACACCAGATTAGGGGTCATAGAGGGGAGATGGCTGACTGTATGTAACAGCACACAAATCTGCAGTACTCCTAGTGTTTTCATCCGAGTCATCGCTCACAACAGGGAGCCATGCCACGTGACCAGCCAAAGACACCCCCGGTGACCGATGCGCTGAACACACAGCTGCGGAATAACACTTGGCTGAACACACAGCTGCGGAAGAACACTTGGATGAACAGACAATCCTGTTGACAAAGTGCCCTCATCATACCCGGCATCGGCGAGTTAAGCATGGATACTGCGTGTGCTCCGCGGAGGAATGTCATCGGCTAGAGCGCAGGTGCTCAGAGGATAATAAAACAAATACCGGCACCGGCCGTGCTGGGAGGATAGTGGTTGAGAAGCTTGATGAGGTCTGGCCCAAAACACATGGGTACTGTGCAAAATAAGCATGGACGCAAACCTGGCCAGACGCACAGGGCGCTCCCGCCGTGTCCAACGGTCGTTTTACACTGACAAAGTCGTTTTGCCATCATACTGAGCGCAGCCAAAGGCTCCGTCGGAGCCCCTCGCGACACCGAACTCTGTGCGGGCGATGCGCTTATCGCCAGTTCCATGCGTGGCCAACAGATGGCAGGCGTACCGATGGAGTAGGGTGCCCAGCCAGCCACGATGGCCAGCAGCCAGCACCAGTGAGCGCAGCCGACCAGCAGCAGGCAGATGATGGTGGCCTTGATGTGGCCGCGGAACATGTCGGTCAGCCGGGCCACCAGCAGCGCGAAGCTGCAGCACGAGATGCCGGCCCACATGCCCATCATGCTCGCCTCGTTCTGTCGGCACGCAGGACAGGGGCGGGACCGTCAGACGAGACTGTGGCCGCGCAGAGGCGAGCTCGGGGGCGCGCGTCCACGAGTCGTCTGGGCAAGTCCGCACGCCCAGGCCGGCGTCACACGGCGGCAGGCACCATTGCTGGACACGGCTCAGTGGCAGATGCAGCTTACAGTCTGATTCGAGGTAAACTTAGCTCTCCACAGCAGAGGGCGAATGACTGACCACCTGCACTGCGGCCCACACAGGAAAGAGCGATAGCGTGGTCCGGTCTCGGCAATCTGATGCCAGACACATGCCTGCTCCATACCACGGGGAGGTTAGAGGCCCACATCTGTGGCACGTACCATGAACATAAACACGTCAGACGTCATGAGTGACGCACTGGCGCCACCAGCAATGCGTCTAACGACAGCGCGCTGCGCACCAGTGGCGGCGCCGGGGGTCACAGCTAGCTGAGACACGATGCCACCACATGACCAATGAACGGGCGGAGGGGCGGAAAGGAGACGTCTCCATGAAAGGATATTCTTGAAGCCTGGCAAAACGACGATAGTGTTGTTTGACGAAACGCACGTGGGACCGCACATACGCGTGTCACCATAAGCCTGTCCACTTCTCGTCTGCCTCCTGCAGCAGTCGGCTGACGGTCCCGGGTTTGGCCCGCGGACGCGTCCCAGCTGTCCTAAGCTCACTGCAAGTGCCGGCCTTCCCCGGCTCTGTTCCCTTAGGTCCGGCACTGTCCGGCAAGATGTGAGCTACGCAGGCCAGGTCACCGCGTTACACTCCGGGTCTCCACCGGCATCTCACTGTCCGGTAAGGTGTGAGCTACGCGGGCCAGATCATCGCGTTACATACCGAGTCTCCACCGCCATCTCACAGTCCGGCGAGGTGTGAGCTACGCAGGCCAGGTCACCGCGTTACACCCCGAGTCTCCACCGGCATCTCACTGTCCGGCAAGGTGTGAGTTACGCAGGCCAGATCACCGCGTTACACTCCGGGTTTCCACCGGCATCTCACTGTCCGAATTTTCCGCACGCTCGGCGCACGGTCCGTGTTTCGGGATGGGTGACTTGCGAAATGACGCCGCATGAAATGAAGAGCCCGTGGCGACAGCAGGATGCGCTGCCGCAGACCCAACCTCTGCGACAAGGACAGCCAATATATCGTCTAGTGATCCCGTTCATTGGCTTTCAGTCATGTCTCAGCTATAGTGTCTTTCCCATCGGCTAGTCTAAGAAACAATGTGAATAGTCAGGTTTCCAAGTAGAGACCCATTTTGTGCGCCACTTGTATAGATTAGCAGTCTTTAACAACTGCAGCTTGAGACATTCCTAACCCAGCCTGTAAGCAATACGGTATTGGCGAATTTTATGTCAACTATTGTGCCATGCAAGGCCACGGCGCGGTCGCCAACAATGGGTTTCCCATCATCGTCAGAGAAATACGACGACTAATGTAGTGACTAAGCCGATCATGGCTTCAAACCCACCGCGTCTGCCGTTCGCCGTGAGCCCGGGCAGCGCGCTCACCAGCGCGTCACCGGCATTATCAAGCCCCGCAGCCACACATGAACGCCAGCTGCCGCCGGTGACGAGGTACGGCCGCACCGACGCCAGCGGCAGGCCGTGTCGACGCGAGCGGCCGGCGGCGCCTACCTCAGTGACGCCCAGCGGCCGGAGGTTGATGTCCATGACGCCGAACCAGGCGCCCATCACGCCCTGGGACAGGCTGTACGTCAGCACCACGCAGATGAGGTCCGGGTGCCTGTGGATGCGCGGGCCTGGTCACCAGCTGGCGGCACGAGCCACCGTCCGCGCCCCGGCCGGTCACGTCCGCGGCCAGCACGCACAGCTCTCTGACGGTCTCTGGCCACACACGGCACGCACAGCTCTCTGACGGTCGCCGGCCACACACGGCACGCACAGCTCTCTGACGGTCACCGGCCGCACAAGGAACGCACAGCGCCTTATGCCACGCGCCACATGCTTAGGACGCGTGCTGGTTTTCTATGACTTTCGAACAAATGGCCGCTTCGTCACCGGTTACGTGATAAATACGCTGGAGCACAGATCTAGCGCAGCACACAGCTAGCCGGGGCAGCACGTGCAGCGCCATGTTGAAGCTCCTGTACCAGAAGCCTCTATGCTACATGGCGATGGCGTGTCCACTGACCTGGCTGAGCCTGTCCCGACCCAGTGTCGGAACGGCAGTAGCCCTCAGCTCACCACTACTACAGCAGCACGTAAACATCCCGTAAAACTTCTGCACACTAGACAGCATCTGTGCAGGCACACAGTCATACGCACGGGCCACTTCCGCATCCGGGAACGCATGGATCACCACCGACGCTGGGTCCCAGAGGGGGGGGGGGGGGCACCCACCTGAGCGCCATGCAGAGTCCCTCCTTGAAGCCGACCGTGTTAGTGGAGGCGGAGAGCGAGGGCGGCAGCGGCGGCCGCGACGGGAAGTACGCCAGCACCAGCACGAACAGCAGGGCGCAGATGGCAGCGTCTGGCGGCACGGCAGAGGCGGCAGGTCAGCCCCGAAGCCGCGCCGCCCGGGACGCCCACAGCTACGGCAGATGCGGACAGGTCAGCCCCGGAGCCGCGCCGCCGGGGACGTCCACAGCCACGGCAGAGGCGTACAGGTCAGCCCCGGAGCCGCGCCGCCCGGGACGGCAGAGGCGGACAGGTCAGCCCGGGAGCCGCGCTGCCCGGGACGCCCACAGCCACGGCAGAGGCGGACAGGTCAGCGCCGGAGCCGCGCCGCCGGGGACGCCCACGCCAACAGCCACAGCGGGCAGGTCAGTCACGGCAGAGGCGGACAGGTCAGCCCCGGGGCCGCGCCGCCCGGGACGGCCACAGCCACGGCAGAGGCGGACAGGTCAGCCCGGAGCCGCGCCGCCCGGGACGTCCACAGCCACGGCAGAGGGAGGCAGGTCAGCCCCGGAGCCGCGCCGCCGGGGACGGCCACAGCTGACGGGTCAGAGCTCAACATGGCTGGTTTCATGACCAGACTGGCGCCATGCATACTCCGTGAAGGGCAGCGAAGCTCAAACTGCGTGGAACACGGCCGGGGTCCGCGGTCTCCCAATGAAAACAAAACTTTGGATGATGACAGAAATACGGCCGCTGTTCACTTTACAGGCGATTGTTAATGAAAATTAAGCTCTAGTTTGGCGTATATACAACGTAACAGTCAAAGTTCACAAACACCCGACATTCTGCAGAAGATCCACACTCCAAGGGCTCACAGCAATGTTTCAAAGAAGAAACCATTGACAAGTGGTGTCAGCCTGATGAGCTATTCAAAGTCTTTTATTTTCTTTCCGAAGATGATCCTCTTTTACCACGCGAGGCGGAATTCAAGAAAGATGGGTGACAACCTTAGCGAAATCATTGTTTCCATTAGGAATGACTCAGAATGGAAATACGGAAGTTGCCGACTACAGAAAACGGGCAAAGTTATTGTCATTAGGGCTTCATGTCGCAGTCAGCTGCTGGCGCCATATTGCCATCGTCTGCGCATCATCCTGGCAGCAAGGGAGGGCACGGGGTACGTCGCCGCGTCTTCATACATTCTATCTGTATGGTGACATGCATCGCCATGCCAAAGACAATATTCTGGCAGCGGCTGCGTTTGATTTGACTGTTCCATGTTAGGGGAAAAAGACCATGCATAATTAAGACAAGACCAAAAACACATCAAACATGACAATAAATGCGTGACTATAGCCGACGTACGCCACTCGTTAACATCCGTGCATCATGATAATCGAATAATGCAGCTTAAACTGCATCACATGTAACTTTTGTCACCATAAAAACGAGAGCCGTCGGACTCGCCGGCTGGGCGCTGCCGCGAGGTCCCGTGCTGCCACGTCTATACAGAGGGGTTAGAGAGGCGCTGACGGAGGCCACACGCCAGCCGGCCGTGCGGCGGATCAGTTTTGTGTGGCGCAGTGCAGGCCAGCTGGCGGCCTTGTCAGATTCCAGCCACTGACCCACATACAAACACTCCGCGACTGAACGCTGAACGATAGCCAGTGATCGAACGATAGCCAGTCTTCTTCGTCTGACTGTACGATCCGTGGGGACGGCGTCGGAGACGTCATGGCTTCGGGGATGGAAATGGCTTCGGGGATGGAAATGGCTTCGGGGATGAAAATGGCTTCGGGGATGAAAACGGCTTTGGGATGGAAATGGCTTCGGCGATGACTCTGAACAAGCTGTGGGACGGCTTCTTTTAGCCCGTCACGATAATCACCATCTGGCAATACCGGAATCGTCGGAATTCGGCTGGTTTGGACCGGTACATGCTCGTGGAACAATTGACAACGCGCGGTGTGCCGGACGACCAAAGTCCGCGGCATGTGACCACAAACGGCGCGGCGTCTCGCGCTCGAGCGTGTAGCAAATCCACTGAAGTGCAGCTACAGCCAGACGGCGTACACTTAATGACCAATGTGGGTCACACAAACAGTCTGCCGTTCAATAAACTTGTCCGCGCTCAGTCCGGGCCGCGTCGCGTGCCCCGTGACGGGGGCCTGTACAGATGTGATCAGCCGCGGCGCGGTCACGACGACTGATGAGGGCGGCCTCGTCTCACCGCTGCCGCACGCTCACCCACACAGCTGGTGTGCCACGACCCCTCCGTGCTCGATCGAGACGGTGTATCAACGCAGTCAGCGAACGGGCGAGATTCGGAGCTCTCGGAAGAATGACTGGCATGATGAGCCCAAATCTAGACGATTCCTTTGCTGCTCCTCGTTGAGTGAGGGCAAAAGGCAACGAAATAAGTCACGGTCCTTAGCCCCCCCCCCCCCCCCCCCCAGGGACGAGGATGAGCATTAACGGTACGGCAAAGCCAGACAACCTCAGGTGTCTACAAGATCGTAGAAGTTCGTGACATCGGATCGACGATCACGCACTGAGTTAGAATGACCATCCGGATGACCATGACCGGTGACCATGACATGCCCAACTGCCGTCACAAATAACACACACTCTACTGCCACCGACAGACACACGAAAGCTCAGAAACGACCCCAATTTCTGACCCACAATCGGGCGGAACTTGCACTTGAGAGGGCCCTGCCCTCTCGCCACGTAACCTGGCACGAGTGGCCGGCCTCGCGGCGCCCACTGACCGATGTACATGAGGTTCATGATGTCCGAGCGCAGGTCGTCGGGGCTAGGGCCGGTGCCGTTCGTGTAGTTGGCTCCGTCCACCAGGTGATTAATCCAGCCGGCCGCCTCGCTCACCATCGCTGCACGGACAGGTCACAGCAGGTCACGAACCAGGCGCACACACACACCGTCAAGTCGGGGGAGCACACCTGCACCCGCCGCTGCGCACGCACTACATGCCGTGACAAACACGACAACAGGCATACACTGCAGTTTCAGGACAGCACCAACGGCTCCGACGATGACCTCGCATCGTAGAGGACTTGTGCTCCATAACAACAGATGACGTCCTCAAGAGGTCGCCGCCCCTGTCAGGCTGCACCAGGCTCGGGACGGTCATGGAGCGCGCCCCACTCACCGGCCAGCTGCGTGACGTTATGCGGCAGCGGCGCCGTCTTGTTGGGCTGCGCGACGACCAACGGTCCGAGCAGGAAGCTGCCGCTCATGCCCAGCTGGTTCAGCACGTTCGGGATGCCTGCCGAGCACGGCCGCCGCGTCAGCCGGTGACGGAGAGACAACCTGTCGGGTCCCGCCTGGCCGGCGCGGGGGCGGTGACAGGGAGAGGGCCCGGGAGCAGCCGCCGCGTCAG